TCGTCTGCTTCGGATTGGACAAAGAACAAGTTGGACATTAGCAGCCGTACACTTGGCATCTTGATTCTCACAGGATTCTTTCAGGAGTGGTGTAGCGCAATGAAACCGCGGCACAGCCAAAGCCAGGAAAACCAGAGGCTTCTTTCAGTCGCAACAGAAACAATAATAATGTTCACTTTCTCTTTGCAAATTTTCAACACCATCATTGGCTCGTTGCGTGCTTGTCGTTAATCTTTGTTACCTTAAGGATATCTCTACTAAAATGCTAAAATTTAGTCAAGTATTTTCAGCTATTCACCTTTACGTATGAGATTATGCAGTTTTTTTCTCCAACAGTAAGGGCCGTAGAATTCCCACCTCCAACTTTATAATTTGTTAAACTTTTGGATTTTGGAATTAGTTTTTGTATAAGATACCTTGTTTTATTTTTATGAACATTTGATATAAAAAATTTAAATTTAGAAGAAAAATTGTTGAGAAAATTGATTTGTTTTATAGATTAGTTGACGATTGGATGTGTATTTATAGAGTTTTGGAGGAGTTTTGGTGTGGATATGATTTAGGTTAATAATAATATTATTTTGACCATTGCATTTAAATTTGAGTTGTTGAATCTTTTTATTACCAATAAAATTCATTAAATTGAATTTGAGCAGTTTTTAAAAAGTATGTAGCTAGTTGCGCCACACTATATCAAAATCTAGGAGGCGCGACAACCATTAGATGCCAATGACGCACCAATCTAGGTCGTAGAAACCATGTTGCTGGTGTGCTCGCTAGCAGCCAATCCCTCCACCCTAGGTTGCTGACTCGCACGGGGCCCTCGTGGGCTAGCCTTTGTTGTTGGTTTTCAAGCTATCTCCAACCCAAGAGGCTAAAATCTCAAAATTTTAGCCCCTTATTTTTAACTATTCACCTATACGTATGAGGTTAAATAGTTTTTCCCTCCAACAGAAGGGACCTATAATTCCCAGCCACTTTATAATTTGTCAACTTTTGTATTTCATTGATTTTTTTTTTCTAATAATTTTGGAACTAATTTTTATATAATCTATTAGATCTGACATTCATGTCGTCTTTCCCGTGTTCATGTCGTTTTCGTAAAATATCCGATATCTTAACGGGTCATGTCATGTAACATCCGTTAAAGTAAACGGGTAATATGACCCGACCTGAAATTGACCCATTAATATTACCAGGTATTATGACCCGACCCGTTACCTGTTAAAGAAAATATATTTTAGATAAATAATGAAAATGAAAAATGTAATTTGACCCCCAAAAAATAGAAAACATAATACTAAATTAGTATATGCAAATCACATTGTAACATAAATATTACTTCAAAACATAAAAAGAAAAAAAAACATTTGTCTTTCAAGTATTACATACCCCAAAATGAGAGCCTAATGAAAACTGACACACCCTGACCCGGAATCAAGGCGTCAGAACTCCGAAGTTAAGTGAGTAGTGCGCAAGAACAATCCCATGATGGGTGACCCACTGGGAAGTTTCTTGTGTGAGTTTCGAGAAACAAAACCGTGAGGGCGTGGTCGGGGCCCAAAGCGAACAATATCGTGCTACGGTAGAGTCAAGCCAGGGATGTGGTGGGGGCCCGGGTCGGGATGTGACAAAAACACACTATTACATTACTACAAAATATCAAATGTTCAAGATATGCAAAATGAAAGGAGTTGCATTTCAAGGTTGAGGATGCAATCACAAGCCTTTATATATGCTTTCAAAATTTTCAAACTTGTACATTAATTATTATGAATTTTATTTATTTTGAACTCCCCTAAAATACTATTCATGAAGGTTTGTATGGTTCTAAAAATTTCAAACGGCGATGTACCCATCCTCGAATCGTAGAGGATGTGATCATGAGCATTTGCCTTATTTTTCACATTTTTTCTCACTTGTAAATTAATTATTATAATTTTTTAACGTGTCTGGTACTTTTCACACTTTTAAATTATTATAGTTTTTTAATCTCACTCTTTGCCTATGGTATACTATAAAAATAAATAAATAAACTTAATTTTTTAAAATTTATATAGGATAATAATACAATAATACATATTTGATATACAATATTTACATATACACTATGGCTATTGTATTTCATATTAAGTTATTCTATTAGTTTAAAACATTAATATCATAAAAAAATAACATTTTTCTTAGCGTGTCGAAATGGGTTACCTAGGCGCCACCCTCACGTAAACCTATTAAGGACCCCTTATTAACGGGTTCTTATTGTGCGACCCGATAACGACCCGATTAGTTATCATGTCGATCCAAAACCCGTTATTTTCGTGTCATGTAAGAAATTTCCAGGTCTATAATTTAGCTTGTTTTATGTTTACGAACATTTTGATGTAGAAAAATTCTAATTCAGAGGAAAAAAAATTGTTGTGATTTTTTTTTTAACAGATTAGTGGACGTGTGTATTTTTACCAGGGTTTTGGTATCAAATCTGATTTCGATTAATTAATAATATTATTTTGACCGTTGCATTTAGTTTGAGCCTTTTGATTTTTTTTTTATTATTTTTATTACTGTTAGAATTGATTAAATTGAATTTGAGCCATTGGATTTAAAAGGGATGTAGTTAAGCGCGCCACATTTGATCAAAATCCAGGAGGTGCATCAGCCATTGGTTTTCAATTTCAAACTTTGGCCTTGAGTTTTCACCTTTTGGTTTTTATTTTTTAATTTTTTAAAAATAAAAAAACTAAAAGTAGTTACCAAACAAAATTTGATTTTTCAGTTTCAAAAAAGTGAAATTGAAAATGAAATGATTATCAAACGGTGGTTACATTTTCCAATTGTCAAAGTTTTGAGATCATCAAATGAGTTGCGTGATTTACTTTTCCCATATTACACTATAATATTTTGGAAACATACCAATTTATGTCTTTGAGTTGTTTTAACTATATCTAGTCATTATTAAATGGGTAACGTGGTGTGTTTGAGATCCATTATGTGCTAACATGTTAGCCACACTTGCGCCACATGAAAAAAAAACTCATCATAGAACTTCGGTGTCTCCTATCGATGCTTTGTACCCTAAAATGATAACCAATTGCACAATATGGTCCATATGTGCAATCTTAGCTTATACAACAAATTAAAAACATGTCCTATTGCTACATATATGTTTTTAAGTTGTTTAACTGTCTAGTCATTAATTAAATGGGTAACGTAGCGAGTGTGAGATCCACTTATAAGCTAATGTGTTAGCCACACTTGAACCACATGAAAATAAATAAATCATCATAGCGCTTCAGTATCTCCAAAATTGATGCTTTGTAACCTAAAACAGTAACCAATCGCACAATTTAGTCTAAATGTGCAAGTGTGGCTTCTACAACAAATAAAAAACATGTCCCACTACTACATATGACACTTCATCAATACAATGATATATTAGACATAAACGGAGTATAAATTGATACAATTTTAAAAATTCAGAATGCAATATGAGAAAATTAAATACTCATGACCCATTTACAAAACCACCTCAAATTTTAAGGATATAAATTTGGTAATGCCAAAAAAAAAAAATACAAGTATTTAACAAAAATTATACTTTTACCACATTTTTCAACAACATTTGTACCGCCTTTTAAATAAAAGTGGGACACACGTGTATTGTTGGACTCTCTCTGTTAGAAAGGTAATACAAATATAATATATAAATTATGTGACAAATATAACATTACTCGGTACTTAATAAGATCAGATTTTAAACCTACCTCAATTGTACAATAAAGCCATCAAGTTACAACTTACAAGTAGAGTAGCTTAAATTATTGAGTTTTCTCTACAACTCTACTTTAAGAGTTTTGGCCCATAACCATGTGAAACTTGGGTTGTACTTTCTTCCACTAGTCCACTAATGTACCTAGGGCCTAAAATATTTGTATTCAATTTTGTTTTTGTTTGACCCATGGGCCTTTTTCTTGGATCAATGCCTTGGGCTTAAGAACAACTCTCTTTTCACATTTGACATGCTATATATTTTGAGTAATTGACCGTTTTAGAAAGATAACAAATTTGTGTTGATGAAATCGAAAGATTGACATCAGTGACAGGATCGATGGGGACAGATCAAGGGAAATGTGTAGAAGACCCCTGTGTACATTTACTGGTACAATGTCAATAATGCGGTGCATGTTATTCAAAGGGAGGCAAAGAATTCTCTACCCTTTTACTTCTCATATCTTCTTGTTTTGTGTGATCACGGTTAAGTCACGTTAATATTTTATATTATTTTTTTATAGAGATAATAAAACAAAAATGAATAGTAATATAAAATATTAACGTGACTTAATCGTGACCACACAAACAGAAAAACACGAAAAGACACGAAAAGTAGGAGGGCAGAAAATCTGCCTCCTATTCAAAGATATAAATTGTGTATGTGTGTTTGATATGTGGTATATATATTCGAAATATTGTTGGTACTGGCAATAGAAAATTGTCAATTAGTTGTTCCCTGTTTGTTTAGGTTTTGCTTGGGCCTTAAGCCCCCATTGTAACTAAATAAAAAACAGAACAAGTAATGATATTCATTTTTTTTTTTTTTCCAATACCAGGTCACGAAAAAATTGGTCTCTTTTTGTGTTTTCAGCTTTCCTAACTTGGTTTAAAAAAAAAAAAAAAAAAAATATGTACCAATACTTTATTTTTATTTTTATAAATAACTCATTTTAAGCAGTTATGCGACAAACACTAGTTTGGTTGCTCACATTATTCCTAATATAGTCACTACAAAAGAAAATGAGTCACTGTTAACAATTCCAACTCCTGATGATATTTTTTTAATTTTGAAATCTATGAAGCATTTTAGTTCCTCGGGTCCAAATGGATTTGGCAGTTCTTTCTATTTTCAGTGTTGGTCTATTGTGGGTAAGGACGTGGTTCAAGCAGTGCCAAGCTTTTTCTCTTAAGGGAATATCCTGCCTCACTTAACTCAAACTGAATGATTTTAATTCCAAAGGTGGATGGAGCAAATTCGGTGAATCATCTTCGCTCTATTTCATCAGCCAATTTTTCACTTAAAATTATCACTACAATTTTAGTAGATTGTCTAAGCCCTACTTCTGCTCATATTGTCTCCCCACAATGTTTTCACAACAGGACGATCTATTGTGGATCCCATCATCTCACTTTTGAATGCATGAACCTCCTCGATAGATGTTGTAAAGGTAGAAATACTGCAATCAAGTTTGATATTCGACAAGCATTTGACACTTTGGATTAGGGTTTTCTTCTTCGGATTTTGGATGCTTTTGTATTTTTTTTTTTCCCCAAAAATTTGATAGGATTAAAAGCACACCACAAAGTAGCACACAAATGTCCTATTAATTTTCCTTATTAACAATAAGATTTGTCAATTGTAGCATATGAAAGAAGGGTTTTTCCCACATAAGATTGTTTTATCTAACTACTTAAAAAGTCACAAAAACTGAGCTGTTGTCCCTACTGACCAGCCACCAAAAAATAATTATTAGACCGACTTACACTTATCTAAAGTCTATGAAATTTTATATCCAGATACTAGACACGTAGAGCTACACTCATACAAATTTTTGGGATTTTTGGAGTTGATTTGCTATTTAAATTAAATCGAACAAAATCAAGACAAAAACAGATTTTTAAGTAGTTCATAAATTAAGAAAAACGAGTTAGGGGAATTGTTATCCACCACCAAATAATCATGCAAACATGTTACGTTTCATTCAAATTCCTTTTATTTCCGGATGAAGATGCTCAAGTTGGCTCAATGTTAGAACTCAACCTATTACTCTTTCTTATGTAGTATGTTAAGAGAATGATATTTTCAACTTAACTTAGTCCCTAGCATGCAATCTAGAATGGCATGTTCATAGATTTAACACGTAGAAATCATTAAGAACGAAAGGAGTTTGAGTCATCACAAGGCATCGTAAGCACTGGCGTTGTCTTACTGAGTCATCACAAGGCATCGTAAGCACTGGCGTTGTCTTACTTATCCTAGAAATTGATTCACATGTTAATCGCAATTGACAAGTACTACTCTAGAACATATCTAGGTCCTCATTCGACAAGGGCAAGCACATACATATTCATAGCATTAGAATCCTAGATATGCTTACTAAGTATGCAACCGTAGAAAACACATAAAGAATTCATCAATAAGACAAGTAGTGAACCAATTTTCATCCATTCATAAAAGTAATTCAAACGAAATGTCATAACAAACTTGCAATCATATTCGGGGCTTCAAACAGCCCCTAACTACTAAAAATTTAGTTACACAATCCTTAAGTTAAAACAAAAGATAGACATGCGTTTGAGAGAAATAGAACCGAAAAAAAATCGACTAAGGCTCCCCCTTTCCTTCCTTCCCCAACACTACTTTCAAACCAATTCTTGCTGCATCATTTTCTTCTGCTTAACTCACCCACTAATAGCCACTTAGTGATGACAATAAGTGAGAGGAAATGGTAAAACAGTTGTAACTCCTTGGGTAGCCTTTATGCCAATTACTCCCTCTTAATCCTCATCTTTAATTCCATTTCCTCTGATATTTGAATAGGTGTCAGCTAGCTTGTTCTTGATTGCATCAGTTTTGGCTACTAGTTTTATTGGATTTATTGCTTTCAATGCTTTCTTGTCAGTTACAAACTGTTCAGCCTCTTGGGAACCTTTCAGTGTTAAAACGGCCATACCTTCTTCTAGAAAAATGATATTAACAATCCACAAAATGCTCCTAAAAATAGACATCTGTACCTTTCCAAACATATAAGGCTCATTCTCTAATTCATTCTGAGCTGTCCGCAACTTGCTTCCAAAGTCAGCTGACCTGCACAGGAAGTTTTGACGAATTTGTTACTTAAAATTCCACTTGTGCTATTTTTCTTTTCTTTACTTGACAAATCCTACAAAACACAAAAACAAAGTAAATAGCTCAAAAATATAAGGAACTAACTAAGAAAAGACAAGTGAATTTGATGTAAAATTTATATAAATAAGAGCTTATCAAGTAGGTTTCATGGATTGATTCTTTCTATTCTAGCTTTAGCTCATCTTTCTATCCTTATTATGGTTTGGTTAAAGGTTTTTTCACTTATTCTCGTGGTATTCGCCAAGGGGATCCCTTGTCTCCTATTCTTTTTTTGTCTATCTGAGGAGGTTTTTAGCAAAGGTTTATCAAAGATGGTGGAAGATGATCTAATTGACGCTTTTTCAGTTCCCATAGGTTTGCTCTACCATCTCCTATTCTCTTTGCATATCATATTATGGTTTTCATGTGTGGAACTAAGCGATCTTTGTGTAACCTAATGAGTTTGGTGGACGAATACAACTTGAATTATAGGTAGTGCATAAATAAATTAAAATCTTTAGTTTTTTCTTGGAAATATACAAGCAGTTGGCATACTCCAAAAGGTTCTTGATGTAAGTTGGGGAAATTTTCCTTTTACTTATCCAGGTAGGATCGTCTAAAAAGGCTCTATTTTCAAGCCATTGATGATAAGATTTGTTGCAAGTTGACGGCTTGGAAAGGTTCTTTGCTTTTGCAAGTAGGGAGACTCCAACTTATTAATTCAGTAATTCAAGAGCTCTTGGTTTATAGTTTTCAAATTTATGCTTAGCCTACTAATTTGTTACATAAGGTTCAGGGTGGGATTAGAAATTTCTTTTGGTATGGTGGTCAGTTAAAACGAGGTGTGCCTCTAATAGCTTGAACTTTTTTTGTAAGTTGAAAGAGGAGGGTGGTTTCGGTATCCGTGACCTTTTTAAATTTAACCGTTCTCTCCTTCTCAACAGATGCTGGGATGTAATTGCTTCTTCCTCTCTGGCTTTGAATTGGTTACGTAATAGATTTCTTAAAGATAACTTTCAATTGCTAAAATCTTGTAAGAGGTCTTTTGTTTGGTTGGGGTTTTAAACAAGTGTGGCCCTCTTTCTATAGTTCTCTTCAATGGAGTATTGATGATGGTCGTAAGATTTCTTTTTTGTATGATAACTGGCTTGGAATACCTTTGCTCTCTAATATTGATGAGGTGTTCATAAGTCCTTTGAATTCTAAGGTAAATGATTTTAATCAAGATGCAAAATGATCTCTTCCCATTACCTTTAATTCTTCTTTTCCTCATCTTTTGGAGAAGATTATGAAGACTCCATTGCCGATTATGCACATGGATGATGCTTTATTTTGGACAAGTTCATCTTGTGGTACTGTTTCAGTTAATGAGGCTTTTCATTATTTCTCATCTCGTGCTCCACATAGAAAATGGGCTAAAATGGTATGACATCAATCTATTCAGCCACGCAAGGGCTTAGTAGTTTGGAAAGCTTGTCATGGGAGATTGTTGACTGATGATTTATTTCAATGCTGAGGTATGGCTTTGTCTTCTTTACGCTTTGTCACAATGCTAGGGAATCTTGTGACCATCTTCTTCTGCATTGTCCTCAAACTATTGCTTTATGGAATTGATTTTCATTCTTTTTGGCAAGTATTATGCTCCTTGGCAATTCATTGAAGATATTTTTTTTTTTTTTGGTTCTTTGGTCTCATCTTTCTCCAAATCTGTTATGAAACTTTAATTCTTGGTTATTTGCAATTTCTTTTGGTTGCTTTGGCCTAAAATGAACCAGATCAGGTTTGGGAACAAAAGTTTTGCTATTGTCACATCCCAACATTGTCTTTTACGGCATTCAAGGGAATTGGCTTCTATTGCTTTTTCTTCTTTCACCGGTTGCTTATTGTTCCTATACTCTCCATGTTAAGAATTTCACCAATTTCTTTGGATGCTCTTAGTTTTATGCTTGTGTTTTGGCATCCGCCTCCCGTTGGGTAGATTAAGATTAACACCGACTGATCTTGCAAGCGGAATGGTCAGGTGGGTAGTAGTGGTGTTTTTCGTGACTCTAGTAATATTGTTTTAGGAGCGTTTGCCTCCTCATCTTCTTATCCGATTGCAGTTGTTGTTAAGATTGTGGCTATGATCGATGCAATTCGAGTTGCATGGGATAAAGAACGGCATAACATTTGGTTGGAGATAGATTCTATGCATGTCATCAGCCTTTTATCAGCTCACTACATGAATGTTCCATGGTTTCTCAAAGTTTCTTGGGCAAATTTTTTATGGCATATTGCTTGCTTGCGCTTGCATTTTTCGCATATTTTCAGGGAAGGAAATTGTTTAGCGGATGCTTTTGCTAATGTTGGCGCAGTGAATAGTAGTTTTACATGGTGGGACTTGGTACCTGATTTTGATGCGACGTCATATAGAAGAGACTGTGTCGAGCTTCCAATCTTCCATTCAAGATCACGAGGAGCAAATTATTAATGAGAAGGTGGTGATAGGCAATGAAATATGAGCAACATAACTATGGAAAAACAATTTCAGGTGATTGAACCTGAAGAATTCTTAAACTAGAACTTATCGTTTTGTTAATTGTTTTTAATGGGTATTGGCCTGTCCCCCCAACTTATTTAACTTCTCGTTTTTTTTATTAATAAAATCTAGTAGATGGAGGACGGGCAGAGGGTTTATAGGTGCAACGGTCCTTTCTCCTTCGAGAAAGGGTTGGTGTCTCACACATGATTATTGACGAAGAGGTAATCTCGTCTAATCCATCTTTGCAAATTATTAATTAAAAACAAAGTTGCAAGTCCTTCTTAATTTGTACCAATATTTCATGATAATAACAAATTCGTCATCCAAACAAAATTAAGACTTTGTTAAACCAAGGAAGAACCAAGATTAAATGTTCAGAATGTATTTAACTTTACTTTTTAGAAGCCCATGGCTTTAATAGTATCAGAATTTGAGTTTCTTCTAGTTAAATTTGTGTTCTGATTAAGTATACGATTGAACCTATGAAATTCTTCCATGAAAAAATGAGAGAGAGAAAGAGAAGAAGCCATCGTAGATGGTTTTAATTGTGGAATAACTAATTAATTAAAAAGCTTGATGAACAAGCGAGCTTTCTCCATCACTGAATTTTATATTATATACATCACATACATGAATTTTTAAATGTCCATGTGTATGACAAAATAAATGAAGAAAATATCGGACAAGTAAATTGACCAGTCTCTTTCGTCTGCCTTCCATTCTAGCGTCAAATATACTCATCTAGTTTGGAGGCTGCGCATATTGAATTAATGGATTAATCACCAAATCCCCTTCTTAACTTAAACGTTTATTATGAGAATCCTAATTCACGTGTGCAAAGGACGTCTGACTAGCATTGGCAACCGTACAGAACATTTTCAGGTCTACTTTGGTGGACTGAGAAAAGTTTGAATTTAATTCATTTTGTAAGTGGTAATTTAGTACTACAGTTTAGTGGTATTCCTCTTCACTTATAAGCGAGAGGTCTTAGGTTCGATTCTCGTCAAAAGCGAATTTAGACCACATTAGTACTAAACCATTGTGAAACTTAACTCACTTCCCCGCCTTCTTAATGTAAATAATTTTGTTTTTAATATATATATATATTCATTTTTGTAAGTGATATGACAACAAAGAAATAGAGAAATAATAATTGATCCAAGTGGAGAAAGAGGTGTAGAAGTTGTATCCCAAAATGCATTTCCTTTTCCAGTCTTCTTTTTTGGCGCCTACAACACATGCCCTTTTAAATTAAGTCTTTTTCTAATTGCAGCGAAGCAATCAAGAGAAAATGTTTACAACTTGACATGTATCTAATTTAAAAGTAGAAGAACCAATGAGACACGACTACATCCCGCAAACAACTTGCATCACACATGGAGGCATGAAGGGCAACTAGACGGGCAGCCCCTCTTTCGGGCCGTCTGATAACTTTTTCTTTCTAGTTCTTGTTTTTTATTTTCATTTTTTAATTATTTTCCCCTTCCAATAAAAAATATAATCCACACTATTACAAGCAAGAGCAAGCACGTACAAAAAAGAAGAAGACCGCATCTGTTTGCCTTCCGATGCTTCTTCCTCTTTTTTTTTACCTCGTTGCCTAATCCTAAATAGAATATGACGACGTAGGGATTCATAAGTAAACATATATATTACCTATTTAGATATGCTCAAATGACATAATTAGAATGTAAATAACTTTATTCCGGTCTGGTCCAGTATGAGATGAACGTATAATCGTGGAGTCGACTCAATCATCAAATTATTGATTATAAGTTCATAACCTTGCCTAGTTCAATTTTGACGCAACAGATCTACCAATTTTTCTGATCCAGAAGCTCATTATAAAGGCTTTCAGTATGGTATCTAGTTGGATAAAGTTTCTGTGTCTTGAGCAACAAGAATGGTCATTCCCAGTGAAGTCGACGAACTTCGCCTACCTTTCTGAGATACATAATGTGGTGGTATCATGGGCCCGTTTGAGCAGCTTAATCCAATCAAAGTTGTTGAGCCATGATCGAACTTCTGAAGAATGTATACACTACTACAATATTAGCTTTAGCTGGCGGATGATGGTGACGGATATTAGAAAAATCATGTCGGATAAATTATATCCGACATATCATTTAATTAGTGGCGGATATTAGAAAAATCATGTCGGTTATATCCAACATAAAGTCCTGGTGGATATTTAGTGGCGGATATCAAAAAAATCATGTCGGTTATAACCGACGGTATTTTTGAATCCTTTTTTAAAATATTTTTGACAGATTCTGGTGGTTTTTAAGTTAATGGTGGCAGTTATAATCTACAAAAATCGACTATTTTATTATTTTACTTTCTGGCGGCTATTATTTTAGTATTCTGGCGGTTATAACCGATATAAGTGAAAATTTTATTATTTTAAAATGTTATATTCATTAAAAATAAATAAATAAGCACATTTTAATTTTTTTTTTTTTTTTTTTCACTCATGACCTTAAAGTCTAATGAACTCAATTCTCACGAGCCATAAATTTTCTAAGAGAATAATAACAACATACTACAATCTGACGCTCTATCATTTTTGTAATAAGGATTATGCTCCCTCACAGGCAAGCAACAAGATACAAGGAAATTCAAACAATTTTTTTCAATGCATCACAAAGCACATTGTCTGGCACATAAACACACATGAACATTTGGTGTACTTTATCATGTCTGATTTTATTATTTTAAAATGTTATATTGATTAAAAATAAATAAATAAACACATGTTTTAAATAATTTTTTTTTTCACTCATGGTTGTCGGATATAACCGGCATGAACAAAGCAAAATTTTGGATGGCCGCCAGAATAATATCTAAATGTTTTTTTTTTTTTTTTTTTGCGATTTTTTACACATGCTATCTCAGAGTATATACAAACATATTTGACAGTTTGATCTTCAAAACTAGTTTCATAGAATGCATATCCTATCAAATTGATAGATTTAACAAACACTTAAGAGTTAATGTTATACTTCCATTAAGTATAAAATAAGATTTATCCACTAGTGTAAACATTTTAAATTGAAGATCGAATTCATTCATTGCATTCTTATAGGGTCGAGGAGTGTAGCAATAAAAAAACATCAAAATTGGAGTTAAAATAGCCGTTTTATAACCGTCGAAAGTTTTTGTTCTGTTACCTAATCTCTGAATGTTTTTTTTTTTTTTTTGTGATTTTTTACGTATGCGATCTTGTAGTGTGTACAAACAAGTTTGACGGTGGGATCATTGAAAAACATTTCTAAGAATGTGTATCGCATCAAAACTGTAGATTAAACGAACACTTAGAGTTAATATTATACTTCCCCGTCAAGTAAAAAATAAGATTTTGTGGTATTCGCTAATGTAAATATTTTAAATTGAAGATCAAATTTATTCATTACATTCTTATAGGGTCGAGGAGTGTATCTATAAATATTTTAAATTGAAGATCAAATTTATTCATTAAATTGAAGATCAAATTTGGCATTGATTTTGGGAAAAATCGCACCGGTGGGTGCGATGAACCCGTGCCTTTGATTCCCCCAATTCTAAAACGATTCCATCCAATTAATACTACCATTAGACTCCCCTTGAGGTCTGGAACAAAGATCATTCATTGGTTGGGGCATCGGATTTGTTTTGGAGACGAATCAAGAACACCCAAAAACAAGGGTTTCCGGCGGTTCGTGACCAGTTTGAGGGGTTTTCTGGCCAAATTGGCCTTGGCTGGAGGTATAAAATTTGCTTTACTCTTTGAGATCTTTATTTCTGTAAATTTTGAGAATTTTTAGAAATAGTTGAGTTTTCCGGTGAGCTGGGACGGTCGACCGCCACCCGCGGCAACTGGTACGGCGGCGCGTGGACAGGGAGTCGACATTGTGTTTTTATGTGAATTTGGTTATTTTAATTATGTCTTTGAGACCTAATTGTTGTGGTTTGAATATTAGTGTGATTGTTGTATATGTTGGATTAAATGAGTATATTTGGATTTGGTTTGAACTTTTGAAAGGCGAACTAAGGATGGCTTGATCGCTGTTTAGGGTACGTAGGCAGTCTAACGAGACGTCAATATGTAAGACTTCACCTTATGATTTGATGGTTAAGTGTTGGTCATAAATCAATGTGTGAGAAATCGTGAAATTGAAATGGAAAATAGTAAGTATTGATAGTTTATTAAACTAGTGTTTAGTTGGGCTTATCACCGATAATTATTCCCGCAAATAAATAGTTCGGGAGTGGGGCGTTATAGGTTATGCGTTTTATGCCATATTATGTGTCTATATATATATATATATATATTTGGAAATACTATGATATGGTTGAGTTTTAGATTGCATCAAGGCATACCCATATGCATATTACCTGCATATAATTGTTGTGAATGCTTGGAAGTGCTAAGATGAACGCGGGACGTGCAGGTAAGTTTAGGTGAGTTTATGTTGTTATTTGAAATGATTGAGTTATGGCATGACTATATTCATGTTTTGGGGCAACTCCAACACTATCGTACAGGTTGCAATAATGGGCAATTGTAGGCAACTCCGACACTGTCGTATAGGTTGCAATAATGGGCAACTCCGACACTGTCATACAGGTTGCAATAATAGGCAACTCCGACATTGTCGTACAGGTTGCCTATGAATCGTTCATGCCATATTAGATGTATTTAGAACTCATAAACCTGCACCTCGGTGTTAATGCTCCCGCCCGTGGTTAGTTCATAGTCCTTCACGTGATGTTCACCTCCCGCACCATACGCTCACCTTGGATCCAAGTTAGGTGTATACTCCTGTCGTACATACCATTATAGGTGGTTCCGACTCGTAGGTGAACCGCGATCATTCGCACAGTTTTCACATGATCACTTGAGTGTATTTATTTACACCTAGTCCTGTTGTACAGACCACTTTAGATGGTTTCGACTCGTGTGCAGGCATACTTGTTGAGCTATTGATTCAGCCATACAGGTCATGTTAGGTGACTCCAGCTGACATATCATTTGCATTGATTATAACACCTGGCTTACATATTTTATGTTGAGATATTTGACATGGCATATATGTGGATTTTTCTATTCCGAGCATGGTTTTGATATACATACATATTCTATTTTCTGGGAAATTACACAAGTGTTATAGTGATGGGTTAGTACCTTGAGAAGAGAAATGGTTTTGAAAAACTTTGTTTTCGCCCACTCACATTTTCTATTTTTGCACCCATCCGGATTCTAGTATCAAAGTTTCCGTATCGACAAGAAATCGTGGCACTTCCCAGTGCAGGTGGCTTCTTTTGACGATATAATTATTATCTTACCTTATTGTACTTTACTTATGCTCTGTATTACATGTGAATGAGCCCATACCGACTCACCACGTACTCGTGTATTTAGACACTTTTATGTTTAAATTTATTCATAGTTTGCCCATTATCACAGTTTATGGCTTCGTCACCTTACTGGTGTCGGCCAGTACAACTCGATTCGAAGTCTTAATGGATATTCTAGGTCGGGGTGTGTCAGTTTGGTATTAGGGCCAGGTTGGGCAGTATTGCGTTCATCACACGCGTGATGAAAGTATTCTTAGTTTTTGTGTCTGATGTTCAAATCATGCCACCTTGTCGTATACTGAAAATATGATAGCTTTTCCTAAGTTTCAGGCAGTTTTGTTGTCTTGACAACATTTTAGAAAATCATTTTGGCTAATGTCGTTAGAATTAAAGCAAACATGTTTCTTGTGAAAGAAAGGTGTAGATTTGAGGCAAGTTGATGGCCTAAGTTAATGTGTTGATAACCGTGTATCACCGGAGATTTTATCAAATAATTCTATCATTATTCGTCCACCGTTAGTATAGATCCTTTTGAGATTGGAAATTCCTACTAGTTTTGATTTCTTGGTAGTATCTGTTAGAATATCACCTGTTAGAATTCTTGCGAAGTCTATTTTTGTCAAGAATCTAGAACTGTCTCGCATGATGATAGTGCTAAGGTGGTAGCACTTGACGGAAGAACATTTTGGGAAATTACTTTTGGTCCCTAGTAGTTCTAATAATTTGTGATGTTACTTTTTGATCATCAAGAAACCTTGTTAGCTCATTCTTAAACTCGACCTTACTACTTTTTGGTTTGAGGTAATAACGGAATTGTTTAGTCTTCCAGCATAATTCATTATTTTTTGAATTGTCCGACCCTTTGATATTTTAGTCTGCGTCAGTTCTGTTTGTACTCTTAGTTTCACCTCCTGGTATTAAAGGTAATTTGGTTGATTTTGAGTCACTAGCCTGTTCCCCATATCATTTCGGATATTGAGAAACTGTTCAGGAAGACCATTTCGAAATTGAAATTGCATATTTAATCCACACATTGAAATTGCATATTTAATTCAGGATGACCACTCGTCCCAAAATTGCAGAAGATAGTAAAGAAAAACGAGAGGCTCTGTTGGTGGCCACTGCTTCTCTGTTTTCTCTCTTCTTTCTCTTCTTTTTGTGTGTGTGTGGGTGGGTGGATATTTACAGAATGTGGAAGAATGAGTTGGAAGGGGAAAGGTGGGTGAGAATACGTAAGAGGAAGGAAAAGGTCGTTGGAGAAGAAGGAACAAGAGGAAGATGGTAAGTTGATAACCACGTTGTGCGGGAAGGAAGGAAGCAACTGTCTCTCTCCTCTCACTCTCTGGCTCAACTTGAAAAGGAAAGAAATAATTCAGATTGTTTAAAATTTTTTTTATTCTTAATATATTTTCTGTCGGTTTTATCTGACAAGAATGCTTTTATTTATTCATTGTTAATAAATTCTCTGTCGGTTATATTTGACAAAGTCCTGTCGATTTTAGTATTTTCTATTGGTTATATCCGACACAATTTCTGTCAGTTTTAGAGTATTTTCTGTCGGAAAATTCATTTCTTGACGCTTACAATTCTGTCGTTTAGTATATCCGCCACTACATCCATTTTCTATTGGTTTTTGCTTAATATCTAACAGTAATATATATTTTTTATTGATTTTTAAACCACCAGTTATGGATAATTTTATAGTAGTGATATTAAAATCGGTCTTACTCCGGTTCTAAAAAATTCGGGATCCCACATGATTGGTACTTTTCACTTCAAATATCTGTTCCTACAATACTGCCAGCTACTCTGGTGCAGTTGGAAGACCCAAAAAAAAAAAAAGTATTATATTATTACATATGACGTATGAAGGCATTATTGTTGTCCTAAAGGTCGAATGAGAAAACAACCCAATATTTTTTGCAACTCACGTCAAATGTTCTAGAAGATCATATACTATAGGTGTAGGAGAAAATTAGTCACATATATCCAGCTCCAGCTATACAACCCGACCTAACTAGCTAATAGATTCTCGTTTTCATCGCACTGACCATCCTACAAGCCTAAAGTCCACAATAAACATGTACAGCCAACAAAAAGAATCAAACTCCCGTACACACATGGGAATCATTGCTATCCCAAAACCCTACATCACCATTAATCATCTTATTAAACACCAAATAATCGACAAATAATCCTTTTTATTGAAAAGAAATCCTAAATAATTATTATTTGATGAATGATAAGATTATTACACTATATTTAAATTACAAGGTCTGCGTAGAATGCAATCGTTATTAAAAAAAAAAAAAAAAAAAAAAAAAAAAGTACATTACTCTAATCAATTTCATTTGACCCAAATCCGGCTAAATAAAATCCTTATCTAATCCTCCATAGAATATTTTTTACTTTCCTAGTGGCCTTCCACCCTCGTCGTTAGTCAACCTTCAAAACTCCTTGCTTTACAAGTCCACACGACTCATTCAAATCCTTCATTTCATTCCCACTTCCCCTTTCCTCTTCACAAACCTCATGGAGTAGCGCCAAGCCTTTTTTTTCTCACCTTCCTATTTTTTCTTCTCTTTCGAGCAGCAAATCCTAATAATTCACGAGTCATGAAATACACCATTCATGCAGTCTTGCTATGGACGCTCAGTTTCCTCCTGTTGTCGCAGCCGATCACTGCGCAAACCGCATCGCCTTCTCAGCCGCAAACCAACGGCTCAAGCTCGCCGAAATTTAACCTCAAGATGGCGGTGGTAATGGTGGTTCTCGTAGTTGCATTCTTCATCTTGGGCTTCCTCTCCGTCTACACCCGTCAGTGCGCCCAGACCCGCCTCCAGGGGCGCGTGGACCTCGCCCTTCGAAACGGCTCCCTCATGGCGCGTGGCCTTGACCCCGCTGTCATCGAAACCTTCCCTGCCTTCATATACTCCGACGTCAAGGCGCTCAAGCTCGGCCAGGGCGCTCTGGAATGTGCCGTATGTTTACAGGAGTTTCAAGACCATGAAACGCTTCGTTTGATCCCCAAGTGCGATCACGTATTCCACCCCGATTGTATTGACACGTGGCTGCTCTCTCACTCGACTTGCCCGGTTTGCCGGGCTTACCTGGTTCCTAAACCCGGAGAAGAGCCGTACGCTTGGGTTGATCCGAATGAAGAGGATATCGAGTCGGGTCAATCTGACACTGCGCCGTGTAGAGCAGAAGCATCACCACCTTCGCTACCGTCGCATATGCCACCCCGCCAAGTGTCAGTTCGGATAGTGGAAGATCAAATCAAAGAGGAGGAATCTCCATCTCCAGCACCTCCAGTGTTTATCAATCTGGTGAATGGAAGTGAAGCCTACAATCAAAGAGGCCCACCTCGGTCTAGGTCAACGGGCTTTGGACCGCCTCGGTCGGGATCAACCGGGATGCGATTTACCAGAGTATTATTTCCACGATCGCATTCGACCGGACACTCGCTGGTTAAACCGGGTGAGAACGTCGAAAAGTTTACACTAAGGTTGCCGGACGAGGTACGTGCTCAACTTGTGAATTCAGCGTTGATTCGTAGCAGGAGTAACAACGTGGCATTTCCAAGGGCCGGCAGTGTGAGAAAAGATTTAAGAAGTGAGAGTGGGCGTGGAAAACGCCCCGGTTTGTTTGAGCGGTTTGACCCAAGTTCGCGGTCCAACCGGTCGGGGCGATCAGGCCGTTGGGCTTTCTCAATGTTGCCGCCTTTTGTGTCTAGAAACGGGTCTGTTAGGAACCAAAGTGGTGATAACGACGTTGCAACTCAGTCGGCAGCTGGGCCATCGGAATTGATTAGAGCACCGTTGGACCATATTGGCGGCGATGAACGGTCAGCTGATACCTTACGGCCAAGGGATCAAGTTTAAACAAAGGAATACGTTTAGTTAGTTTGAGTAGATTGAAATTTTGTGTACATATCCTTTTAAAATTGAGTTCATTGTCCTTGTTTTTATTCATTTCAAAAGTTTGAAAGAGAATACGTGTAAGAAAATGATGTGATACCTACCAATTTTTTTTTTAAAAAATGGATATAATCGTCCATTTGTTGTGACAAAAAATTGATTACATTTCCCTTGCTAACTTATGTTTTATTGAAAACAATGTCACTTTTACTCTATCATTGTATCATGTAAGAAGATATTATTGTGAATATATTAAAGAAGAAAAAAAAAACAAAAATTTAATAAGTTAGAAGGGACATGAAGCCAAACCCTAACCAGAAGTAGAAATTATTAAAAACAAAAATCAATTAAGACAACTCCTAAGAGAAACGAAAATTGGAAGTCCCAAAAGATTATGTAGAAAAGCGGCAACAGCATACGGCAAACAAGAATCTCACCATTGAACCCCAACATGATCAACACTATAGTTTGCCAAACAATCTACCATCTGATTTCTTTTGCGAAAGATGTGAGAAAATCAAATATGCAAGGGAGATAGAAGTACCAAAATTTGCCCAATCAACCGATAAACGCCAAGGCACTTGAGAAGATCCATTAGAAATGAGATGCATTGCCAAACAAGAATCACCCTCAATCCAAAGCAAATGTAACCTCCTCGATCCAAAGCCATATTAACAACATGAATAATAGCTTTAAGTTCCGTCTCCAAGGTAGCAGCAATGCCAAAAGATACTGCAAAGCATCCAAGACAATGATCTAAGTGGGCACATAAATTACCACAAAAATCAACCATGCCTGGAGAGCCACGAGGCGCACCATTAGATTTTAACTTTAACTTGAAAAGCACAAGGAGAAAATCAAAGAACCTTATGAATTCCATGTTGTGAAATCCCGTTTCTGGATTTCACTATTGTAATTTACGAATTATGTATTCACGGGATTTTATATTATTGTTGTGATTTATTTTAATTTTGTTAATTTTAGATTTTTAGTTAACTAGTTACAAAGTTTGAATTTTCGTCATTGGTCATTTAAAATCCATAGGACCTTTCGGGATCAAACTTAGTGTTTTCAAATAGAGTTCGATCCATGGAACAAGTAGGCGTTCGCGAAACAGAGTTATGACGAGGAATAAATAAACAAAAAAAAGGCAGGGATATTGCGGTAATTATGACATTCTATTTATAGAATGTCCCAGAATATGGGACAAGGGGGACTCTAATGTCAGGTGCAGTTTTTTTTTATGGTTAAGAGTAAATGAGGACATTTTTAGTGATTAGGGCATATAATTACTTTCATGTCATTTTTTTTTTGTTATAATAATCATTTTTCGGTTATAGTTGTCACAAATTTTAAAGAGTGGCTATAATTCTATATGAGATCCAAATTTTGGTTACTTTTCTAAATTTTCCATCAAACATTGGGTGGTTTCAGTAGTTTGTTGGGTGAGTATAAAGCACCCAATTTTAATTCATTACATTCATTTGCTCATAAAATGTTAATGACTCGTTCCTATTTCCTTTTCTGTTTTTCTTTGTTTTTAATACAATTAAATTTGGAGATAAGGAAAATTAAGAGTGCTGCTAATCTCACCCAACAGTCATATTTCTTCACAGCACGTTATATATTCTCACCCACCACTAAAAATTGAAAAATGAAAATCCTCTGTTCTCACCCACCCTGATTTCTAAGGTACCGTTTGGTACGTGGGACGGGATGGAACAAAGTGGGACAAGGCGTTCCGTCTCACGTTTGGTGCGCCTAAAATGGGTGGAACGAGCTGTTCCACGGGACGAGTTTTGGGTGAATTTTCATTCCACCTCACCTCCCTGGAACGACTCGTTCCACATCCGTGGAACACAAAATTATAACCTCTTCGTCTCCTTCTTCTTCCTCCTTGTTTCCATCCGAGGGCATCTTTGCTCCCGCTCCGTTCCGTTCCGTCCTGTCCCATCCCGTCCTGTCCCATTCCATTCCATCCCGTCCCGTCTGCGTACCAAACGATACCTAAGTAACCTTATTGATGTATTTTTTTTTTCTTTAACATGAAACAAATAAAATAAAACAAAAAAATGAAGGAATGCTCAGATAAGCCAGCATTTGTATCCACTTAGCCGACGCGACAACTTCAGAAGGGTAGGGTCGCAGCTTCACTCAGTGGAAACACCCCTCTCTCTCCTAAGTTCTGCACCGGACTACGAATGGCCAGCAATGATGGATTCAAATTCTCTCTCTACTTTCTCTATCTATCGGTCTTCTCCTCTTCTCTCTTTCATCCATACTGGTTCTTATCAAGAACAATGGCACAGAGACAAGGCCTCGTCTTTTTCCTCACAAAGTCTCCTTCCTTCGACTGCTCTCCTATGATTGCGTCATCGAAATAAAGGAAACTGACATGAAAAGTTCAAGTTCGGAATAGTGGGTAGGAGGAAAATGGTGCACGATTGCAGTTTTAGTCGGGCTATTGGATATTTCTTGGTGTCATTAGTGTTTTTTGGTCTCTTTGCCATAAAAGATGGTCTGGTGGGTACTAGTTAGTGAAGTTAAGAATTCTCTTTTATCTCTTTTTTATTTTTAGAACCTTATTTTATTTAGGTCTACGAGGTCATTTTGCATTAGTAACTTTGCCATAAATTTTTCATATTAAAGTGGATGGAGAAATAGGATAATGAGGTGGACATAGCCCTACTCGAAATTAAATACAAGACCTCAACTAAGGGCTAACTTGATGAATGACTTTACTTATCTGTAATGACGAAATTAGGAATTTTTAGAGCTGTAACTTTTTTTCGGTCTATTAGGCTATCTCCAATGGAAGGGGTAAAGTTCCAAAAGAAAAAAATGACCTGATTCGCCTAAAAACTTATATCCAACCGATGGCTAGGATATAATTCTATGGAGTCCATCAAGTTATTATTTGGCCAAATGAGCATCAGGCTGGCCAGATGTAGCCCCTTTCTTAGCTCATTTTTAGGGGGCCAGCTCCTCAGGCCATCTCCAACTGAAAGGGCTAAACATAGTCCCGTCCATAATTATAGCCATGCAAAAAATTATTTTCAAATGGACAGTGCCAGACTATATTTATATACCATCTCCAACAGAAAGGGGCTATGTTTTAGCCCCTCAATAATCTATTATTTTTAACTTATTGGTTAATTGAATTAAATTACCATAGTAAAACTACGACAACTTAGGCATTAATTCAACAATTGAATTAAGTTTGTTCTTTAAATGGCTTGGGTATTTATAGAAAAAAAAATGTCACGCCCCAATCCCAGCATACGTCCAGGATCGACACGAGACGTCTCCAAATACTCGTATCTCAAACATACCCCGCCTCCGAGATATGGGTAAAGCACAACTCGAGATCCAAATGCGTAATAATTTTTTGTATACTTTATGGCTGCATCTAACCTCCTCGTTAGACTACCTACGTACCCTAAAAAGGGATCAAGCCATTCGTAGTTCACCATTCACTACAATTTGACATATATCACAATCCGTTCAAGCTGAAAGGCATAACATTCCTCAATCAATCATTTGGACTTGACAAGCATGAATTGTTCAATTCAAGCTACATAACGAACCCACATGACAATCAAGGTTTCTATTTCATCCATTATATAAATCACTATGTTTCAACATAAAATCGCAATTCATAGCATGTAATATATCAAAGAATCAACAAAGCACAATAGTATCCTCCAGTCACATTGATCAACTAATCTAATCGTATTAATAACAATCATATCCAACATCATTCCACAATCACTTCAAGTAACCAATTCCATGAATCAAGGAGGTATGATATTAACATTGAATTACGTTAATCAGTTAACAAGATCACATATCAATGCACGAAATTTAATAAAGGAATTCTACATAATTCCCTGCCTAGATTCCACGTAATAACATGATAATTCTAATTTATAAACATGGCAACTACTGTGAGCAATTCCTACTCACTCAAATCTAGGGTCGAACTAACTTTATGGAAATGAACAAAGTAAGGATTCCAGACCACTCAACGGAACCCGAAATATAATCGCCTATTGGAATGTACCAAGTACAACTAATCCTCATCGTGTGGGTAGTGATCACCCAACGTGGATATACCAAGTAGGACCACATCCTAACTCTAGTTAGTGTTCACCTAACGTGAATAAACCAAGCATGATCACTCCTAGAATACGTATGGTCCCCTAACACGGATATACCAAGCAGAACCATATGCATAGTCTAATAACGTAGACAGTGATCACCTAAAGCGGATATACCAAGCAAGACTGTATCCTATAGCTCTAGGTAGTGATCACCCAATGCGGATATACCAAGCATGATCACTCCTGGAATGCATATGGTCCCCCAACGTGGATATACCAAGTAGAACCATAGCATAATCTCATCGTGTAGGCAGTGATCACCCAACGTGGATATACCAAGCATGATCACCCCTGAAATACGTATGGTCCCCAAACACGGATATACCAAGCAGGACCATCCATGTACCATTGCTACATGGAGTAGTAAAATTCCATATACAACCAACCCATACCTCAACCCTTATGAGTTGCAATGTAGTCACCTACATCATCAACTTCTCATGGCCACCAACTAATATGTCACGCAATCATATAAGTTCTACAAAATACTTCTAATAGGGTTCTAGGATCACATTGTCATAACATTTATCATAGTTATCATCCATATTATTAAGAAGATAAATAAACACACACACACACATATATATATATATATATCCCAATAATGACGTCCCATACACGTAAACCGATGTATATATAATCTGGGATAACTCACTAACCAATATAGGCCCACTAAGCCCTACATAGTCTCTAGTAATACTAATTTTAACATTTAAGATCAATTTGAAACATATTGGACAAAGGTCAAGTCTTTGTCAACGGTGGGGTCCACAAACCTATACAAGTCAATCTAGAACATCTGCCTATGGATTTCTGATCCGTAACTCTCTAAGGGTCTCATTTATCTTCTAGAACAATATTCTAAAATTTCAGAACGATTTAACGGTCGAATCTCCGTCAATTGCTAGAATTAGGTTGCTATCAACATTTAGTTTTACGAATTTAGAAATCCAATTCGGGAAGATCCTTATGTCAGATTTCCGATTCGTAAGTTTCTAATGTCCTCAAATATTATGTACTATTACGTATTAAAGTTTCGTGTTGATCCAACGGTCGGATTGTCAATTAATATAATGACCAAGTGGTGGTCTCTATCAAAACTATAGTCATAAGATTTCCTCAATCGAACATCACATATGGAATCAGGGTATCCAATTTAGTCTAGAAAGGGTAGGTGGGTTTCGGCCCATGCGCCACCGCACACCCTGACTCGCCGGAAAATTTCACCTACTCTAAAAATTACCAAATTTCACCAAAATGAAGATCTCAATGAGTAGAGTAAGTTTCATACTTGTGGCCAAGTCCAATTTGACAAGGAAAAGCTCCAATTCGTCTCGAACCTGCCAGAAACCCTAAAAAATGTGTGCTTCGATCCATCATCTTCGGTGCTCCGTCGCCCCCAAACCTGTTTGGGCTTTGTTCTTGGGTTTAAGGAGAGTCTAATGGTGGTGGAGATCTAAGGAAATTGTTTCACAAATGGTGGTTCAAAGCCAAGGACCACTCGAACCTGCTGGTGGTTTTCTCCGCAAAATCATGGCTAAACACATCGGGTTTGGATGAAGATTGATGGCAAAGTGGCAGGGAAATGATTTGGTAGTGGTGGGGAGCTTTCATTTACTCGGAAAATGGCATAAGGGCGTTGGAAATGGACGTTAGCCGAACCAGGTTGGGTTGAAAGAAATAGGTCAAGAGGAAGAAGTCCGGGTCTTGCGTTCCTTCACTTCTCTCCTTTCCCTCTCTACTCCCTTTTCTGATTGGGCTACTCCCCCTTTCTTCTCTCCTGCAAATCTCATTTTCCCCCTCACTCCCACAACTCTTATTCCCCCTACTCCCATCGCCATCTGGCAGCATCCAATCTTTTTTTTTTTTTTTTTTTTTAAACTCTTACTTAATTTCAAACTTTGTAATTATATACCTAAAAGTATAAAATTAACGAATTTAAAATAAAATTAAAAATCGCGTAAACGAAACATGAATTTGAACAATGAAATACACAATTAATTAATGAAATTCTGGGAACGGGATTTCACAAAAAATGTGCATAATTGAAATAAAATGAGGTAAGATAGTATGGAAGGGTAAAAAGAATGTGAGAAATTGTGTAGAAATGACTTAGGTATTTATAGGAAAAAAATTAGAATTTAAAATTCTTTTTTAAATTTCATCCCTAAAAGACAAAAAAAAAATCCAACGGCTACATGACATCAGCTGACATCATGTAGATGTTGGGTGTTAACAGACTGGGCCTAACAAGTGGGTTGGTTGGCTGGCTAACAATGCCCATCCCAATGGCCAAAGGGCTTAAACTTGGCCTGGTGGGTCTCCTTTTATTTTTTATTTTTTTATTTTTTGCCCATACTTCCATTGGAGTTGGGTTTTGTCTTAATTCAAGCTAAAACATGGCCTATGGCCTATGACCTGATCCATTGGAGATAGCTTCAGTTGCAATAAATGATTCATATTTAACGATTAGATTTGAAAACATTTAACGGTAGTTTAACTAAATTAACTAATATATTTAAGGTATAAACTTAAAACTAATAAATTATTGAGAGGTTACGTTTAAAAGTATTTGTAAAAATATTTATCCGCTAATCCTATTCCTATATATATATATATACACACACACACACACACAACTTTTTTTTTTTTTTTGATGACCTCATGTTTCTAGATTCAATATCCAAGTCTTGAATCTTTAATCCATTAGAGATTGTTATAACTGATACGTTAAATCTTAATCCAATGGGTTAAAAACGTGTGAGTTGTCAATAAAGTTATTTGGTTGAAATATACAATTTTGATATAAGTTTCACCTAATATCTAAGCACGAGGAAATATACTTTTCCATGTGGAAATGTTGTCCATTTTTTCTTCATGTCGGACTAAGCACGCTGAAATGTCTAATTGGACTTTGGACAAGTCAATTACCTACTCTAGCGTAATATACCTTGCCATTTCAAATTTGAACATTTCAATATGATTCTTTTTATTTATTTTTTGTTAGATTAGGAAAATGATAGGTTTCGAACCCACGCCGTAGTATAAGAACAACACTCTTCTCCACCATTATAATAGATGACCACTTGCATTTCAATATGATTAATTAGGTATATCCAAAAGTAATATGGGTCCGTTTTATAGGCCTGTTTTGAATGAAATTCAATAGTATTATACAACCATATGTAGGGTTTAGTAAGGGCTAGTTTGTTGATAAAAAAAATGTAAGGGCTAGTTTGGTATTATTGTGCTTTTAAAAAAAGATGCTTTCGCTGTGTTGTGAGAATAAACAGCTGTAAAATAAAGTTGTTGAGTGTTCTGTTGTGCTATGGTAAATTAAAACTGCTTTAAACCAAAAAAAAAAAAAAAAACAGTTTCTATGTGGTTAGTAAACTTTTATATAAATTACTGTAAATATGTTAAATGACTAAAAATAATATAGTATTTAATGTTATATAATAATTGTCAAAGAAAATAATGTAGGGGCAAAAAATATCAATTTTGTAAAATATGTGAAGAAGGTATACTTGGTAATTGAAAATTTAATTAAATGAGCACATAACACTATGCTTTGAAAAAAGTTTTTTTTTTTTTTTAACCAAAACATTTATATTTAAGATTTATTTAGCCTAAGTAAGCTTGTTTTGAATGCAGTTAAAGTGTCCATAATTTTAGAACAAATTACATTAAATGCCATTGAATTTTTTAACTCATCCATAAATTCTATCTGATTCATTTTGTTTTAAATTTTCCATGATTTTAAAAAAAATTAACGTGAACTTTAAATGCATAAACCATGTAAGTGGGAAGAGAAAGATATCATGTTCGTGTATACTACCTATCATACCCAGGAGAGTTAATATTTTTCAATGCATAAATGCTTGTGTGTATATTGGTTTGATTGGTACAATTTTTATGTAGTTTAAAGTTATCCCTATAATGAGTAAAGTGAAGAATAATTGTCATCTTAATTTTTTTCTACAAGGGTAGGTTGCTTAAATATATACCACATGAATGCTTATATAGATTTATTTTATGAACTTTCCTCCATGTTAGGTAGTTTAATGTCGTCCCAAGGAGTGTGTAATTTCATTTTGACGTATTACATTTTCCTCCATGTTAGGTATTAGGCGTAGTGAAAGATTATAATTTTCATGTAAATTTGATTTTCCTAAGTTGTTTAAATTTCAATTACATGGATTCTTATTGCATATAGGTTTGCTTTGTACATTTTCCTAAAACGTAGATGGTTTAATCTCGTGGAGTAGAGTAAAGATGATGTAAATTTCATTTTTCACTAAGATAGATAGACTAACATCAAACACTTTCTATGCACTACCACAAACAACAAGACTAACAAAATTTCCGAAAATTAAAGTGCACAATTAGCAAGACATCAAACTTGTAATCATCTTTTTTTTTTTTTTTTTTAATAAAGAAAAATGCATAATTAATCATATAGCTAATTGGGCACCTAGGTGGGGCCTAGCAGGCGGCAAGAGTGTTTTTGCAAATTTGGGTTCTCTTTGGACTTTCTTCCCCAAAACCCTTTCATCCGCCTAGACCGTTGCCTACATAGCCGCCAAGGTGCAGTTGGACGAGCGCCTAACAGCTCCTCGATTTTACTTAACATTTTGGACCTAGTTGCATCAGCACAACGACACCTAGCGCTTAGGTGACCATGTAAGCCAATTTTTAGAACATTGGTGATATGTAGATAGATAATATACGGGTAGTCTATAATACATGTAGAATAAAAAAAAATATAGAGGTAGATATACACACACACACACAGAGCTAGATAGACAAAATAAACAAAGAAGGTGCATTTAATGATTTTACATATAAAAAAGAAAAATCTATATAATCAAAGTTCAAACAGAAACATGAGGACGGAATGATCGAACAGTGTATCTGCACTTCCCAACTAGCCTCCACTAGAGGAACAACAATGAACAATCTAAAAATTAATATTATTTCCAATGATAACGTAAATATGGCTCCAAATGTTTCCCTTCATAACAACTAGGTAAAAAAAACAAAAGTATTTTGAAAAAAGATATGATGAAATATACATCATAGGAACGATAACATAATATGGAGCATGCAATCTATGGAAGAGGAAAGAAGAAGATTTGTGAATTAAGCGGTATGAGGAAAAAACAAGTGGAACAAGAAATTAAGAAGACGACCACGCCCGGAGATAGGCGAGGTCGACGTCGTCGGGTAGAATGGGGGAAAAAGGATGATTCTATTTTTAATTGTAAAGGATGGGTCCCACATTTTAAAAATAAAAATATTTTAAAGTTTTTTTAATTTTTTAATCCAGTTGGGCTAAGGAGTGGATCATGTTTTAAGCCACGTCAGCATTTATAGAAAAAATTAACAGAAAAACTAACGAATGTCTAATATTGCAACAAAGTCAAAAGATAAAATATAACATTGTAATTTTTAAAATATGAGGTATAAGATTGTAATTCCATCCATAATTGAAGTAGTTTTGTATAATGCACCATTTGGTAAAGCGAAATTCGCGCTCGAACTTGCACGTAAGTGTAAGAATACACTTAAAAAGCGTCGAAAACTCTCCTCTGAAACGGTAAGAGCCATGTACAGTTTGCGCACACCATGAAATAGTAAAACCGCGTCTAACTGTCAATTTATATCTTCCTCCGCGCTCCCACCTCCATCTTCCTCAACTTTTCTCATTCTTCCTTCATTCGCAATGGCTCGATTCAAATTCATCGGCATTCTGAAAGACAGAGCCTCAATCCTCAAAGCGACTCTGACCATCAACCGTCGAGTCTCCTCCGTACACCTCGCTGTCCTCCGCGCCACCACACACGACCCGTCAAGGCCGCCTTCGGAGACACGAATCGCCTCCGTGCTCGCCCTAGGGCTTTCCTCCCGCCTCACTGCATGCGCATGCATTGATGCTCTCATGGACCGGCTCCACGTCACTCGGAGCGCTTTTGTTGCCCTAAAATGCCTCCTCACGATTCACAACATTATATCAAAGGGGTCTTTTATTCTCAAAGACCAGCTTGCGTACTACCCTTGTTTTGGGGGATACAATTTCTTGAACCTCTCCATGTTTTGTGACAATTCCGATTTTTGTATGTTGGAATATTCGTCTTGGGTCAGATGGTTCGCCGGTGTGGTCGAGCAGAATCTGATGGTGTCTAGAGCAATTGGATATTATCTCAATTCGTCGAAAAACGAAGGTAACAAAAGAGACAAGGAAGAGAAGGCACTTGCTCTTTTGGACTCAGATTTGGCAATGGAGATTGAAGTGCTTGTGGAATTTGTGGTGCGAATTTGTGACGCCCCTGATTCATTAGAACTTCAGAAGAACAATTTGGTGTACGAAGTGGTGAGAGCCACTGGCGAAGATTACAGGTCGGTTCAACGTGAAATTGTTGTCCGAGTCAAGGAAGTTGGAGACAGAATCGACTCAGTCGACGGTTTGCGTTCGGCTGAGTTGACTCGGTTAATTGACGCGTTCGAGAGGCTGGAGGGTTGCAAGGGGAAGTTAATGCTGTTGTTTGTGAACAGGAAGAGGAATGATGGGTTATGGGATTTGGTGAGAGAGACCAAGGCTAGGCTTGTGGAGATGAAGGAGCAGCGAGAGGAGAGGCTGGTGGTTTTTCCAGGGAAGGACGAGTTGGCCGAGTCGACTCAATGTTGGAACCCATTTCTTGAACCTGGACAGTTGTTGCTGTTACCATCTGGTGGTGGGTGGTTGGGCTTCGGACCGACACCAATAGCCGTTTGAACAGTTGATCATCGTGTCGGGTTGGGTTTTTGTATAGTGGGACGCCCCTAATTTTATACATAACAATGCGCATGAGCGATCAAAGCAAGGGATGTGATACCCACACATTTCATTTTACTTTTCATACAATTTTTTAATTTTTGACCGTTGGATCGGATGAATTGAAGAATATCAACGGACAAAAATTATCAAGGGTGTGTGAGAAGTAAAATAGGATGTGTGGATAGTACATCCCTTAAAACAATTGATACATTGTAGTATTCACGTGCATCAACAACTTATAATCTCTCATACCATCATGCATCATCAACTACAAGCACTCTAGCTGTAAATGTTTCTAGATAAATTAACAAAAGATTTATGTTTTGTAATAAAAAAAAAGTGATTTATATTTTTTCTTTGATCTCTCAAACATTGTTCATTGGTGTGAAGTGTGAACAGCTAAAGTTGTTACCTTGACACCCCAATATTAGGTGTCAGAGTTCTAACAATGTGTATGTAACAGTGTGAATGTATTTTGACATGCCAAAGAGAATGGTTAAAATAATTTTTTATTTTTGGGACAACAATAGCAACGGTGTGGCTTTGTTGTTGTCGAACAAAAAATTGGATGAATTTGTTTTTCTTCGGATAGAAACTTGTACAAAAAAGAAAATGAAATTCTAGCTAGGTAATTTTATTTTATTATTATTATTATTTCTTTTTTTGTAACAAAAATTGAAAGTTTGATTTTTCTCATGGTGGCTTTTGCATATATTTTTTTAGTAGTTTATATATTAGATGTTGATGGGTGCTTTCTATGACATCTTTGACGAAATGACAATAAGATAAAACTGATGTTGATTCTGTTCTTATCTTAATATGTTTGTAGTGATGTATTCGGAGGTCAACAACCACAGGGCGGCAATGGTTTATGTGTTGGGTTAAGCTTTTGCAAGGAATTTGGTTATTAATTTTGGAGGAATATATACAGTCCCCTTTCGTTAAGGATCTTCAGATAAACTTATTTTTAAATAACTCTCTCTTTTTAACTTATAATTTAGGGTAAGGTTCTAAAAGGCACTAAGCGCTAGTTCGGCGACAGGCTGGGGCTTAACGCCTAGGCGGCTAGGCAGGGACTTAGACGGACTAGATAAATTTAAGTAAATTTATTATATATTGTATAAATAAGTGCCTATTCATACTTAAAAAAAAAACCACATAACTATATATATAAATTGCAAAATAAAACGACATAAAGATTATAAAGTATTATAACATGTTAAAAACATGGGAAACAAGCATATAATGAATGTTCATCAAAGTATTCAACAAGTCTCTTACATTTTATTAAAAATATAAAATACAAAATGAAAATGATCAATTTTCTGTCTAAGTGAGTCGCATCATAGGCAGGTTTAGACAGGCGCGGGCTAAGAAGATGCTTAAGAGGGTCTAGGCACACTTTCTTAATTTTCAAACACCTAATGACTTATCAAGGCAATGCCTAGCCGCCTAGCGCCTAGGCAAGGCCTAAGCAGCCCTAGGCAAGGATTTTTAGAACAGTTTTTCAATTGTTTTCTTTTCTTTATGTTTCTGTGTGTTGCTAATTATGTTAGGAACAATAAAATGTTAACATTGGTTGTTCGCAGTAAAAGACTAAGTAGTAGAGAAGAACATAGAAGGTTTGTTGAATCCTTCTATAGGTTTGGTGGTTTAATTCTCATTTAATATTTATTACAAAAATACATAAAAGAAATCAAAATTACATAAAAGAAAGGCTAATCTAAATAATTTGAGAATCAATCAGAGAAAACAAAAGATCTCTACAAATCAAGAAATCCATAATTATTGTCTATCACACCCCCGCAAACTGACGAGAAGAGCTAGAACAAGAAGCTTGGAGACCAAAAAACCAAAGCAATTGATGGAAAATCCCATAGTGAAAATATCTGAGATCTGATCATGGATAGGGACATAGTTAACAACAACTTCTTTTCAAACTACTTTCTCATGAACATAGTGATAATCCACCTCAACAAGATGAGTTCGGGCATGAAACACCGGATTTAAAGCTAATGAAATAGCATTAATACTATCGCAGAAGAGTGTGGAGCGGTGAAGATCACGAAACAACATTCAAAACAATGATACAGTGGCAGCTTTCATAGCAAGTTGTCAATACTCGACCTTAGTACTAGACCGAGATGCACAATTTTGCCTCTTTGCACTCCAAGAAACAAGATTAGAACCAAGATACAAACAATATCCACCTGTACAGAGACAATCATCAAGATCCCCAACATAATCGGTGTCGAAATATGCAGTGAGATGAAGAAAGTCTAGGCTTGTATTGTATGTCGTGGTGAGTAGTTCCCATAAGATAACAAAGAATGCATTTGACGGAAGCCAACAATTAGTGGTTGGTAGGTGAACGAATTGGCAAACTTGATTAACAACAAAAGTGATATTCGGGCATGTGAGAATAAGATATTAAAGAGCACCAATGCTATGATATTCACTTGGATCCGGCAAAGGATTACCATCCTAAAGACTGAGTTTTTCCCACTAATAGCAGGCATAAAAACTGATTAGGCACCATTCATTTTGGTGCGTTGAAGTAGGTGAACAAAATATATTTATGTTGGCAAAGAGACAGCCCACCAGAGGTTTTAGAAAGTCCTAAAAATAATGAATATGGCAAACATCATTCATTGAGAAACAAGTGCCCAAATCGTGTATGAAAATAGTAATACAACAATCAAGCCATATACCACTAAGTGGGGTCCGCTACATGAATCCTAGAATGCTATTGTGCTCGGTTTTACGCTAAAGTTTTATGTTAGTTCGAAGTACTCCGTATCTTTTCTTGTAATCTTTCTCCAAGTCTTCTTAGGTTTCTTTTAACTAGAGCATCTATAAATCTTCGATTCATATGTCCAAACCAACTTAAACAATTTTCTCTCATCTTATCTTCAACTTCTACTTTACCTCGGATATGCTCGTTCTTAATTCTATCATTTCTCATGTGCCCACACATCCAGCGAAACATTCATATCTTTGTTGCACTTATTTTTTTTCATGTGTTGCTTTTTTATCACGTAACATTCCATGCAAAAAGCATCGATGGCTTGATTGCTATCATATAGAATTCATCTTTGAGTTTTAGTGGTATACGACAATTGCACAACACACCCGATGCACTCTTCCACTTTATCCATCCAGCTTGTATTCTATGATTGAGATCTCCATCTAATTTTTTGTTATTTTGCAAGATAGATCAAGTGAAAGTTCATCTTTGACCTACTTAGGCGAATACCTTTAGCTTCCAGCACTTCCCACCAAAGATTAAGCTTCGCATTTACTCCCTCACCATATCATCTGTGAAAAGCCACCAAGGGATATCATTTTGAATATGTCCTATTAACTCGTCCATTACCAATGCAAAAAGGTAATGACTTAAAGCTGAATCTTAGTATAACCCTATGATTATGGGAAAGCTTTCAGTCTGCTTTTCATAAGTTCTTGATGCAGCTTTACTCCATCATATATATATACCTTATTGCTTGGATATATGATACTTGTACTCTTTTCTCCTTTAGATTCTTCCAAAGAATTTCTTTTAGGACCACTATCGTACATTTTTTTATTTCAAATCTATAAAGACCATATGCGAATCTTTTTTCAAATCTCTATATTGTTCCACCAATCTTCATGAGAGATAGATTTTCTCCATTGTTGAGCGCCTTGGCATGAACATGAATTGATTCTTTAAGATCTGTGTCTCTTGCCTCATTCAATGCTCAATTACTTGCTCCAAAGCTTCATTATATAGCTCATTAACTTAATACTTATATAGTTCATGCAATTTTGTATGTTGCCCTGACTATTGTAGATAGGCACCATAGTGCTTTCTTGCCACTCATTGGGTATCTTCTTCATTTTCAAATTCTTATTGAAAAAGTTTGTAAGGCATGCGATGCTTGTCTCTCTCAAGACCTTCCACACTTCAATCAGTATATCGTCGAGACCCATTACTTCTCTTTGCTTCATCTTTTTCAAAGTTACAACCACTTCTTCTTTCACAATTCAACAATAAAATGAGTAACTTTCTACACTCTTCCGAGTAACTCAACTCACCTAAATAAGTACTCATGTTGTGTCCTTCTTTGAATAGATTATGAAAATAAGCTCTTTATCTATCTCGAACCACGTTCTCCGCAGTTAGAACATTTTCATTCACATCTTTGGTACAACAGATGAATTTGTTGTACCAGTAGAAGAGGAAGGCCTCATGCTCTCCCTTCCTAAGGCCTTCCTCGCCTCGGCCGGCGAAATGAAGGATGAGAGTGTTGTAGTTGAAGAAGTTCTTGTGGAGCTTCTGAACTTCTTCCCTTGAGGGCTCCCGATCGCCCCGGCTCTGCGTTTCGACGGCCCTTTCGTCGAATAGCGCCTTCAGGTCGAGAGGAGAAGGGTATCCAAAAAGGGCGGCGTCAATTGGAAGGCCGGTCGGGGAAGTCCCAAGGATGGCCGAAACGTCGAGGATTGTGGGGCTGAGGGGGCCGAAAGGCAAGACCATGGTGTTGGTGGCCGAACACCATAAACTCAGGGCCGCCAGGAGCAGCTCCTTATCCATGGCAATCTCCATGGTTGACAGAATAATGGCATCATAGATGCCGAGAGCCTTCCACTCCTTGGAGAAGAATGTGCTCATCCGGTCGACCCAGGCAGCCCAAGCCGTGGTGGTCGAGGGCCAGGCTCCCTGAGGCCGCGCCAGAGTCCACTTCGACCAGTCGAACCCCTGCAGCAGGGGTGTTAAACACTGCTCCTTGAGCAGGTCAGTAACAGACGACGACACTGCGTCTCTGAAGAGGGGACCCAGAATCTGGTGGGTGGTGGCCATGTCTTCTTCAAATCGCAGCGTCTTGACGGCGCTCCGATCGATGAAGTCCTTGCACTTGTTGATCTCATCGGAAAGCTTCGAAATGAAGGAGGCCATTTGTGGAGAAGAGAGAACTGGAGAAAATATTGCAGAAGGAATGACTAGAAGGTTTGGTTTGAACGAGCGAGGGATTTTGGAATTTCTGAAGGCGTAAGAGGAGAATAGATTGAAGTGTGGATATTTATAGGCTTTTCAGATTGAAGATCAAACGCCTGAATTTCGAAAGGCACTGGAATTCGAAAAGCGTTGGTTCAGATTGGGGGGAAATTTAACCGGGAAAGTCTGCAATCATTTTGGATATTTTGGGAACCTGCGAAAATGGAATCGAGGAGTCGAAAATCCAGGATGCACAATTGCGTGCGGTGACAGGTTCAATGCATTAATAAGGATAAGACGATTCAATTAGTGCACGATTTCAAGGCCCATGATTGAAGCTTTTAAGAACGGCGGAGAATTGACACGTGGCCACGTGTTGGG